CTTTTCAGACTTGAAGACCTTCCATTGAATGATATTACTGATCTTTACCTTCTAGATTTTGTTGGCCCACCTGGATTTGTTCACCAAGTCTCCACCAAAGTTCCAAGGTACTTTCTTTTTCACTTTCCTTCTTTAAAAATACCAACTTCCTAAGTTGGCTTTAAAAATCTGTTGCCCGCAGTGCGCATTGTGGCCGTTGCAGCGTGAACTTTGATTGAGAAGAGTTTGGAATACACAGTTAAGAAACACTTAATATTTGGATTTTTCAAAATTAAATTGTTTTTTGGGTTCTAAATTTTGAGTTTTGACAAAAATACTTGAAGAAACCTCTGCGAAGTTGTATGATGCGGTTCCTAATGTGGAAGGATGCTTGATTTCAAATTACACCGCAATTGCGGTCCAATGTTGTTGTGGAGACTACCACATCAGCAATATTGCTGACGCAATTTAAAACTATTGTCTGAATTATGGTTCACATATTATATGTAAATGTAAGCAACATGAACAAATGTTACAGGGACTAAAACTAAAACAAGAAGGATCAAAAGCAAAATTTTCTATCTCTTACGACCTAAAGCCGACAAATTTTAATGAAGACTAAAATAAAAATTTGATAGTCTGATTTATTTGCTGGGGCGAAAAATATATTCAAAATTGATAGTGTGATTATTTAAGAATTGAAGAATATTTGATTATATCAACTAAGGTTATTTTGTTGTGTCTCTAGAGTGATTGTTTTGGACCATCACAAAACTGCACTTGAGAGCCTTTGTAGTGATGATACTTCACTTGGTGAGAACGTGACTAAGGTTATTGACATGGAGAGAAGCGGGGCTACTATTGCTTTTGATTACTTCAAAGAAAAACTTGTGAATCCTGATGCTGGTGTTGTGGTGAACCAACCTTCGGTGATTGGTGAATTCGACCGTGCGAGGCGAGTTTTTAATTACATTGAAGATGTGGATCTTTGGAGGTGGAGACTTCAGAATAGCAAAGCTTTTAGCAGTGGTTTGAAGGATTTGAAGATTGAGTTTGATGCCCGGATAAACCCTTCCTTGTTCGACCAGGTAACTCAAATTCTAAGGCTATTGTCTCCGCTTAAGCTTAAATTTGAAAAGGGCCACAAAAAAATTGTAAACATCTTCTCAAACTTTCAAATCTGTGCCGCGTATTCAAATGCACTATTAGATACTTGAATTAACTTGACATTTTCAAAATTATGGTAGTTGCTTTCATTGGACTTAGATGCTGTTATTAGTCAAGGCACGGTGAGCTTGTCACATAAGCAAAAATTAATTGATGATTGTCTCAGCAACTCATATGAAATTGCCCTTGGAAACGGTGCATATGGTCACTGCCTGGTATGACTGATATTTTCTTATTTTGATCTCTTTCTATTTCTTCCATTCTACTCTCCTTCTATGCCTTGCTTTTGTAGTCACATTTCCTATGGCCGTGCATTTGCAATTTATTTCATCTTAATTATTCATCGGTGTTAGTTTTTTAACACAACCAGCTGGTCTTGTTGCTTTCAACTAATTGTGTTTGTAGGCTGTTAATGCAGATGCTGCACTTTCGGAGTTAAGGAGTGAACTAGGACATCAGTTAGCTACTAAAAGCCAGAAATTGAAATTGAGGTTTGTTTATTTTGTTTTCTTGTTCATATGGATGCTATTCTCCATTTGAGTGCCTGGAAAATCCCTTCATTAATATGTAGTGATATATTTATTATATTCTAGTTGTAGTATTATAGAGTTTGTTATATAGTTAGTTAGAGAGGGTATGAATAACAAGAGGAAAATAATAGTGTGAGGTCTTTGGTTTTGGAGTGGAATTATCAGGTAGAGAGTATTATGATCTCTAACACGTGGGAGATCTTGTACTCGTGTTTCATCATCTTCGTTCTTGTATCACGTAGTGTTGTTCAGAGTAGTCAATAGTGGCACTATCTTGCTATAGAGGAGCGGAGACTGACCGCTATGGGAAGAGCCTTAGGGGTGCAGAATACTATAGGGGCTGCTATTGGGTAAATAGCGGGATAGTGGAGCAGAGCGGTTCCCGTCCCAGAGCTGTTTTTGGCCTGCTATCCCTTTCCCTTCTAAGAAACTGAAATTACCCCTTAAATTTACAATGTCTTAAGGGTAATTTTGGGTTTTTCAATGAAATTTGAGTTGAGACTCAACCTTAACCTTCCTTCATAGTCTTCACTTCAAGAGTCATGTGTGCTTTGTTGCAAAGATGAAAAACTGGTAATAACATCAAAAGGCGAGGGAAGAAATTGCAAAGATTGAACAAGGAGATTCACGAGTTGGAAAAAGTGGAGACCGGTCGGGGGAAGATCAAACTTCTTCAATAGTCTTCCATGTTTCCCCTACCATTGCCATGTTCCGCGCTACTGGGTCAAAATGCTGAAAGTCACGGAGATAAATCAGCAGGCTGAAAATGTCAAAATGCTGATTTACAAACTTGCTGCACAAGAAAGGTTGAAGATTCCTGATGTTTTAGTAGATTCTGCTACGCTTTCCGTTACTATTGTAGTTGAGGGGTCGGTAATTCATTATCTTGTTCGCCAACTATGAATTTGTTTTCAGCTCATACAAGCAGTTCACCACCTTTAGAACAAGATGAATGTTTATGGAAGGGAGAAGCATTGTTAGATATCACCTCAATGGGGCTCAACATTGTCACTAGTGGATAACAGATACTAGCAGTTACTTCAAATTTTGCTGCTTAGTAATCCTATACCACTGCTATAGCCGCTATTTAAAACATTTTATATACCAAACAGATGGAATGTAATTCAAAAATGAATTTGCCATTTTAAGTTGGTGACTTGAATGGCATGTGTATATATATATATATATATATATATATATATATATATATATATATATATATATATATATATATATATATATATATATATATATATATATATATATATATATATATATATATATATATATATATATATATATATATATATATATATATATATATATATATATATATATATATATATATATATATATATATATATATAATATATATATATATATATATATATATATATATATATATATATATATATATATATATATATATATATATATATATATATATATATATATATATATATATATATATATATATATATATATATATATATATATATATATATATATATATATATATATATATATATATATATATATATATATATATATATATATATATATATATATATATATATATATATATATATATATATATATATATATATATATATATATATATATATATATATATATATATATATATATATATATATATATATATATATATATATATATATATATATTCAATAATTTTTACAAAAAAGTATATATATCATTCTAATAAATAAAAAAGTATAAAAAATATATACATGCGATTTGATTTTGTTTGTGTCGATTTTGAAAAATTAATTCGAAATCCAATCCAAACCGAATGGTTTTTACAAAATGACATTCAAATACATTCAATAATTTTTAATTTTTTTAATTTTTTGGATCGGTTTGCAGTTTTTAATTAAACTGGTTTGAATTTGACCACTCATAATAATAATAATAATATACAAGATGCATTAAGAAATAGAAATCTCCTAAAAAAAAGTCATGAACAAGTTTTTTTTAGGACATTTTTTAATGCACCGGCTCCTTTTTTATATATTAAATTTCTTTGATATAAATAAATAATTTAAATTGTTTGGATCAAAATATACTTATCACGCATATCGCGTAACTACTTTAACAAATTCATAACTAATTAAGTGTAACATCTAACTATTACTAATCATATTTGGTAGTTCAGTTGAATATCAATAGGTTTTAATTTTTGTTAGTTGATGAACTATTTTTCCTATATATCATTGAGCTAATGCGCATACAAATTTTGCTTTTAAATATCAAAATTTGCGTTTAACCCTTTCACTCATTTGGCTTTTGGATTTTGGGTGTATTTGGCTGTGAGAAGAAAGTGTAAAGAGAGAAATAAATGAGAAAGAGTATGAAAAGAGAGAAATAGAGTAGATTTAATTTATGGATTGAAATAAGAAAGAAATAGAAGAGAAAAGAAGTGTGTTTAATTTTTAAAAAGATTAAATTGTCCTTGTACTAATATATGCAATTTTATTATCATAATAATATAAGTTAATTTAATTTTTTTATTGTTTTAATTCATAAATAAAATTAATTATTTTTACCTAAAAACTAACTTAATGTTTAATCAATAGTTAAAATATTTTAATTTAGTCAAATTAATTTTTTGCTTAACATTTAATTAATTATAGCAATTCAATGAGATTAGTTATTTATTAAATTTATACGAATAAATTATGACATGTTTTTATAAAACTATTAAATTAATATATTACGGGTAATGTTAACTTGTGCCTTGGAGTATAGGTTAAGAACTAAATTAAGAAATATCATCTTGGAAATTGTGTACAAACTTAAATTAAAGTATAAAATTAATTTTTAAATTGTTTTTTCCAATACAAATTTACTAAAAGTGGTTTTCTTAACATGTGCCCCAAGGGCACAAGTTAACGTTACCCATATATTATATTTCTAAAACATAACTCAGATGTGGTTGTAAGTAAGTACAAAATTTGTATATCAAAAGAAGCATAATGGCTTTTTTTAGTTATTTTGAAAAAAATGACTCAGTTAAAGAAACATTTTCATTTCTTCGCAGATTGGGAGAGAAAGCATTTTAACGTGGGCCCAGCCAATTTCAATCTCTCTTTCCTATTTCTCTTCATCTTCTCTCTTTTTAACTTCTCTCTTATTCTTCCCATTCAACTTCTCTCATTCTTCCCAAACAAAGGAGTTGCAAGTTAAGAAAATATTGTAATTAAATGAAAAACCGAATAAACAAGCATTTATTTACATCCTAAAGCTCAGACGTTGAAAGTAAAAACTAAAAGACGCTACTTAATTAATTTAGAATAAATAAATTCAATCGTTAGGGTTTGATTCATCATCGTTCCCATCACCATGGTAACCGCCCCCCAAATCACATATTTTATCCCAAATTAGGTCAGGAACTGGAACAACCGAAAGCCTAGGCTGTTTCAACAGTACAAAATCCTTCAAATCTTTCATCTCTTTCAAATCAACCGCTCTTCTCATTTCGCCAACAGCCTTCACGTCCACCGCACCGTCATCTTCATTATCGGTGTACCATTCCTTGACGACGGTAACAACGCCGACGATTCGACGAGCCTTGGTACCGGAGTGGTAGAAGAAGCAGAGATCGTTGATTGACATTGATTTCAGGTATTTCTGAGCTTGTTTGTTTTTTACGCCGTCCCATTTGCTTATCCCGCCGTTAGCGGCTTGATCCTCCCACGACCACTCCGATGGTTCCGTTTTCAGTAGAAACCTCTTTACCTCTTTTCCCATTTTCTTTCCTTTTCAGTTCTGAATCGATTATTTAATACCAATTTCCCCTATTTATTTATATTAGTTATAATTCCCGCCAATTCCATTTGTTCTTCCCGCCAATTTATTTATATCAATTACCGTACTGTAATTGAAAAATATAATTCGACAATCAATACGAAGCACTAAATTGAACCTTTATATTGCGGCAAAATACTGAAAAATGCAGTATAAATTACGGTTGCAATGCTGTTGCGCAGATTTCAAAAATCTTTATTGAAATTGTAGAATATGTACGGAATTATAAACTATATTTTTCTGGTTCAACTTGTGCTTCAAATCTTAAGTTTCAACCACAACTTGTACATGAAAACAGAAAATCAAATAATCCTCTAATAACCTGAAAATGCAATTCCCATATACAAAAAACTAGGAGACTGGCATGCTGAACTTTAGTTTATAACTGAAGGCAATCGTTACAAACCTGATTTTTAAGGTTAAGTTAGACCAAACAAAATATTAAGATGATATCATAATTTATCCAAGATCCGATGGACAACACGTTATTAGATTTAAGCACGTTATTAGATTTAAGCTATCAGACCACTCGGGTCACGTTCCAGATGTTAAGCCCTTAGTATCAAGAGTGTGTTAAGAGCCTACATTGAGTCCTACGTTGGATGAAATATGGTCTAAATTTGGATTTATAAGTGAGGATAATCTTCACCTTGCTAGCTGATTTTTGTGAGGTTGAGTTAAATTCTAAGACAATCCATCATGTTGCCTCATTGTTATCCATGTTCTTCTCATTTAATTAAATGGTACTTAGTTGTGTTTTGTTTATATGACTCATTTTTGTGGCGGTTAATTTCTAAAATTAGTATTAGTTTGTTTGTGTGTTGGATTTTGCACTCTTTTATTTTTAGTTTGATATGTTCTTATTTTTCTTTGCCTTGTTTGCTTCCTAATTTATGCCAAAAAGAAATTGCATTCATATAATTAGTTTAAGTGAAAAACCAGTTAATTATCCATAACTTATTGAAATATATATGGAGGGTTGTCTAAGACTATGCTGCAGCAATTTTATGTTATATGTGTAATGAAGTGTGGCCTATTTTAGGAAGATGATTGTTCTCAAAGACATTGTGCCTGCTGCTCAAAACAACATAGACACTAAATTTATATTCTTGGAGAAAGGGAAGACAACACTTGAAGGGCAAAATAAAGTGTGTTTGGCGCTTGTAGCTGATGAGACTGCAGCGGTTCATGTTCAGCTTTGGGGAGATGAGTGCGATGCTTTTGATTCAAGTGATATAATTTATCTAACCAATGGCATATTTTCCTACCAGCACGGCAACCTTATCTTAAGGGCGGGTAAGAGAGGGAAGTTAGAGAAGATAGGAGAGTTTACTATGTCCTATGTTGAGACACCAAACATGAGTGAGATTCATTGGGTTCGAGATTCAACAAATTCTAAGTATATGCAGGAGCGTGTAATATCTCCCCATTCACGCATTTTCCCTCCAATTTTGTAGTTTGATATGCATTTTTACTGGAAGCAAAAGTTACCAACTTGTTTGTTGATAAACCTACCTTTTATTTATTTTTTATTAGTATGATATATATATATATATCTCTTGCATTGGCAAAGAACCTATGTTACCAGTTTTCTGTTTTCTTATGGATAACACTTTTTATGGACTTATTTATACTTTAAGGGGTATTGGAGCTGTTGTATATAATGTTCCAGAGCTTGAAAATAACCAGAAGCTAAAGATAAGTTTGAGAAGTTTGGACACTGAGGATACAACTCCCATCTCTCAGGTTCGTCCTTAATCAATTTACGAATTGCATCTCATATGTGACTCATGTTAACATGTACTATATTACTTGCAATCTATGAAGCACCGACACCTGACACAACACGTATGAGTACCGACGCGTATCAGACACAGAGACAAGCCTAATCAAAGAGGTGTCTGTGCGTCATACTTTCAATAGGACTTGTATCTAACTTCTTTTGAGAATCTTCTTTCAGGATTTCGGAGGCGGTGGACATCGAAATGCTAGCTCTTTCATGTTGAAGTCTGAAGAATTTAAGCAGTGGAAGCTGTGATTGGATGTTAATTTTCTCTTGACATGGAAATATAAACCAGAGTTTGCACTTGATGTGATGTATGTTGGTCCAATCTTGAACCATCTATGTAAACTCGTTATACAATTCTTTTTAACTATTCTTTTGTAGTTACTATTTCAATGCAAATTAAATCAATTTTGTTTTATAGTAATTAAATCATGTTTGGATGACTCCGTAAAGTCAACTCAGATAGTAGTTATAAACATTAGACTGCAGGAACGCTGATTCGAACATGCGACATCTTATTAGTTCTTTGAAATTTGCAATAACAATAATAATCAGAAAAACACATTGCCAAATTGTTATGCTCTTTGTTATATATAATTCCTTTCTCAAAAGAGAAATACAATGAGACTAACACTTGTGTGATTTATCATTATTCCACAAGTAACACCAATATACCTCAAAGATAGAGGTTTAGTACAAAAATGAATATATAAAAACCAAATGGCCTTATAATATGACCCTAAACAAGTCCACCAACCAAACCAAACCATCATCACCAATTATAAGTATAATAATCAGAAAAAACAAAAGTTAAATCTCTTACTAATTAACAGTTATGGTAAGGTATATAAATATTTTATTATATATATGATAAAATGTGTATATATTTAATTATATATATTCAGCTTTCAAGTTATTTCACTCACCACCAATCTTGATTTCCTTCAAGTCTTGAAAATATTAATTTGTAAATGTAACATGTGAAACTTCTTCACCACCAACCATTGCTGCATTAGAAGAATACCATGCATCTTCTGTAATGAACTGCATCCATGAATCGTCTTTGTCTTCCTCTTCTAAGCAAGAAGATGATGCACCAAGTATGTCCGGAGACATCGTTTCACACTCATTGATCATGGTTTGGGAGCATTCTATTAGTGACATGTTACATTGCGCTTGCGCTTGTTGCTCTTCCATATCAGAACATATTCCATTTTTCTTGAACACGCGACACAGTGCATAAGTATCCTGTATTGCAATCAGTTCATTAAGAGGCAATGTGAATCAACTTATTTGAATCTATCAACCCAAACAAACACATAAGGTTCTTAGAAAGGGTTCACAAAAACAATTTATGACATTGTCTATAAGGCGCGTATAATATTTTTCAACTAAAATCATATTATTGCATAGTCAACAATTGTGGCCTAAACAGTTCTACATTGTGTCTTAAAACCCTAACAAGTATGTGAAATAAAGATTCAAAGATGCTAAATGTTTTTCCCATGTTTCTTATTTAAGAGTAATAATAATTATACTACTATGTAATCAAGTGGAAACTTTAAGACACTTTTACATTACTCACATATTAGAAATGTATTGCATAAAATATCTTAGAATTTGAATTCGACTTCATTCAACATCTAAAATAGTTATGTAAGAAGTTAGGTGTCTAGTTGTCAATACTTGTAAGTATTTGATAGATATTTGAATTAATCATTTAAAACATTATTTGGTTGGATCTGATAGTTTCCCTGCAATTCATTCACATATTCACATATTCAAAGAATTAATAACCGTTCATCAAGATTTGATTATCCAGAAAAACACATATTTTAATTTTTATCATAATTTAAAACTCATAGTTTAATTCATAGCTGTCTAATTGTGATCGAACCGTCACTAATACTCTTAATGCGTGAATACGTGTAAGCATTCATCCCTCAGTAGCTTTATTTTGTTTTTAGTTTCTAGATATAGTATATAGTAAATCTATTGTTCTAATTTTGTGTTCAAGAATAAAGCAAAAAGTAACCGACCTAAAATGAAAGTGATATAGGATATGAGAATTGCTGCTTTATGAGGGTGTACAAGCCTTGATGGCTTATCAGAAGAATCTAATAGTTTAAGATCAAGAAAAGTAAGAATGACGAAAATTGAGAAAAGAAAGTGATGATAGGGATCATAAGTGTTAAGTAGGTATAAGACTTTTGTCTCATTAGATTAACAAAAGAAACCACAAGATGCAGTAGAATAGAACTTTGTCATATAGAGATATTATAGGATCACAAGTAAAGAATATGTCAGTTATACGTTTTAGATATAAACAAATATAAAGTAATGTGTATAAGAGAAGAGAGAGAAAAACTATGCAACTAGAAAAGTTGAAGCTTTCCATGCACACCATGCAGTTTTCACGTTCTTCTGTTGTTCAAATGAAACTAAACTCTTTGATAGTTCAGTAAAATCTGTAGTTTCAAGTTCTATTCAATGTGTTTCTATAGTGAAACAATTATGAAAATTGCCTTTGTTAGTGTCTTAAGAACAATTCTGCCTTAAATGTTTGGAGAACCAGTGTAAGTTAGTGACGGTTCAACCTAAACAAAATGATTAGAGATTCTATTTTGTCATGGTTTAGCCGTGACAAATCTATTATTATGTCATATTTAGTCTTAATTTAACTGTAAAAAATTTAAAGTTCTATGCTGTAGTCTATGTTGCACACCCTCAAAGACGCTTTTTCAGATCAAGTATATGGTGACAAGTGTATACACAAGAAAAAAAGAAGAGAATTGTGAAAGTAGGTAAAGGGTCAGGTGGGCACCAAATACTGGTTTTGAGTACAACAAAAACATTTGCTTTTATGAGAAATATATCTTAGACACTCAAATTTCATAACAAAAACATATGTGAAGTAGTCTGATGCAGTTCCTAATGTCGCCGGACACGTGACTTTAAACCACATTTCAATTACGGTTTGATGTGGTTGCAGAGACTAGCACATCAGTAATATTACGAGTGCAATTGCAGTTGCGGATCACAATTTAAAACCATGATCATAATATACTTATTACACACAAGATTTGCCACAAACATAATTTTAAAATTTAAACTTCAGTTGCATTGCATTGCATATTGCACTGTAAAGTATTCAATTTAAAGGCAAGTATGCATAAGTTATATTATGTGTACCTGTAATCCAGAGTTGTCCTCGCACTCTTTATCGTCGAGACGATACTCATGCATAACCCAATCAGTTCTAATTCCTTGAGGAGCTCTACCTCTATAGTAAACCAAAGTCTTCTTCATACCAATAGGTCTATTTTGGGATGAAACTCTTCTGTCTTTTCCAGTTGATTTCCAGTAACCTGCTCTTGTTGCTCGATTTGTTCTGAATCCATTAGGGTATTTTCTGTCCCTTGGTCCAAAAAAATACCACTCTGGATCTCTACTTGGCAAAAACGATTTCTCTATCCATAGCCAAAAATATTGTTTTCATCAAAATCCATAACATAAGTGAAGGATAGTGTAAAGTAAAGGAGTTGCAATTCAATATATGTAAAGATAATGTCTTGTAATAAATTACATGCAATATGAAGCACGGATGCAGACACGGACACGACGCAGACACTAACACGTCGATACCAATAATAATTTGAAAAAATGAATAAATTAAACATAATCACAAATGTTGGTATCGATGTCCGACACGAGCACGGACATAGACACATATTTTTTCAGAGGTTTCAGTACTTCAGAGATTTTAGGCCTTCGAAATCGGACAGAATTTTCATCTTTGTAAATATAACTTTGAATCCACATGTTTAATAATGTGACATTTTCACATTTGAGGAAAGTTGCACCAAGGTCTCTGAGGTAAGAAAAATTCTTACTTCATAATAACAAAATTAATGGCATGAAATATTCACATTTTGTTGCATGATATTGAAAAATGAAAGTTGTATATAGTTTAAATATAATAATTTATGAGAGTAAAAAGTGTGACATTAAATTTGCTATATGAGAAATGAAAGAAACAAAGTATAGAACCTGCTAACTCCCAAGGTTCACATTTGTAAAGATCAACTTCAGGAATGATATCAAGTTCAATTTCTTGACCACTGATTTTCCTCTTTAAATAATAATTGACAAGTTCTTCATCAGTTGGATGAAACCTGAAACCTGGTGGTAATCCAACTGGTGACATAGTTTTCTTTCTCTTCTTGTTCTAGTTTCTGTAAAAGTGTTTTCACTCATCACAACCATCATTGCTTATAAATACACACAAAAAAGAACCAAAGTTCCTTATCTTTGAGTTTTTTTATTTCTCTCTCCTTCTTTTTCTTTAACAGAATTATAGATTCTTGTATAACGTTTGATACAAGCCTTTCTCTATCAATAATTATATATAAATGCTTCTTATTCATTTGTTATTTTCTTGGTATTTTATTTGATGGTACTTTTTTCTTTGTTTTGTGAGAACATTTTGGAAGAAAAGTAGGAAAGTATGATTAGCCAGCACAGCAAGAGATCCTGTAAATCAGTTGTATCTAGATCAGCCAATCAGTAATACAAGCAGCAGCAAGCACATACTTTTTAGAAGCACAAGATTAGTTTTCTTGTTAACTTGAAATTTAAATTATATTTATATGGGAATTCTTCAAGAGAGAAGACACAATTTTAAAGAATATCTTAGTTTTATTTGACATATCGCATAATACAGGGAGTCTTTCATCTCACTTGAGTAGACATCTTATACCATTATAAACTCTGTAAATACCATCATACATGGCCTCTCGCCAACGCTGACAAGTTTTAACTGATATAAACCAACTAAGGTCTTTAAATATCTCCTATCCTTGTAGAGATACCACACACGCTTGTATTTTTTGACAAGTATACTATCTAACAATTACTTACGTGATAAGCAATTGAATAGGTAAATAACTAAAACAAAATTGAACTAACTTCTTAATTAACTCTTATGTGGTATTTAGATCAAACTCTAGTGTCGACAAGGATAGTTCCATAATTCGAAAGAAGGTTTAGTATATGAAGTCAAAGTCTCTTTACATGTTAATCTTGTATGCTGTAGTCGAAGTCTGTTCGAGTATACTGTCAAAATATATTAACTTTAACAGCAATGATATGTTTACACCAAAAGCATACACTACACCGTATTGCACTGTTCAGTAATACGGTGAACAGTGCGAAACAGTGTCATATGAACAGTGCATGCGTCCGTAAACAGTACCATGAACAGTGTTTACGTGTAATATATAAATAGTGATTTTTTAAGAGTGAATAAAGTTGGTTAATGAAATGTAAAAAATTGATTAATAAAATGATGAAGTTGGTTAATAAACGCCCAAATATTAAAAATATTTTTTAATAGCAAATTAAAGTTGGTGAATAAAAAGTAAAAAGTTGGTTAATGAAATTATAAAGTTGATTAATAAACATCCAGCTATTAAAAATAATTTGAAACAGTCATCAAAGAATAAAGTTATGAAATTGATTAATCACCAGATGTATTATGATTACTTCTTAATAAAAAATAAAAAAATAATTTTTTTAAAATATATATATTTCACTGTTCACCGTGTTGGTGAACAGTAAAATACGGTGTAGGTGTAGGAATTAGGTGTAAGAATATCATTTCTTTAACTTTAATTTAAGTTAGTATGTCAAATTGGGTCTTTGTAAGACCAATTGTTTAAGTTAGCTGTTCCATAAGTTAGATTATATAATGGGTCTATGTGTAAAAGTCCATTAGGTTAGTATGTTAGTTTTATTATAAATAATATGCTAGTCTCTCATTTTTGGGGAGTGGTGAAGATCTTAATTAGGGTGAGAGAAGTTAATTGTTAGTACTCACTTGTAATCTTTGAATCCTTATTAAAAAAATAAATAGTAAAATAGATTTAACCAATTCTCTATTCTTCTTTCTTCTCTTTTCTTTTGTGAAACCGAGATTATCAATTCAGTTGATTCTTAACATTGTTCTAAACCTTCGTCCTTACAACACTGCAACAATAATGTGTGCTTATTTGAAAAAAAATCTACAGTCATAACAACGCACCTTGAAGATTCCAGCTTGAGCACGACATAACTAATTTTAAATAGACTGATTTATCTATATTTAATTTTCATTCTCAATTCATAAATCTTTGGGATGAATACACTCATATAGTTTATTTAAATTTAAGTACTAATGACCTAAGTATGGTACAGATAGTTCATGACACTATTAAACAAGGTCAATTTCTTATGAAATTGGAATGCAACTTTGAAGATTCCACTCCAATATGATGCATAGACCTGATGCTCTCATTGGATGTGTGTTACAATAATCTGTTACGTGAAAAACAATATCTTACGCAAAGCATAAGAACAAAAACCATCTCCTATCCCTGTGGCATATATTGCACATAAGAGGTTAAGAAACCATGATATGAACAATATTCAATGCTTTTGCTACAAGTGCTCTAGACATTATACTTCCAACTGTCCAAGAAAATTATACAATTACTATAAAAAGAATGGCCACATTATTAAAGAGTGTCCATCTAGGCCACCAAAGCAAAATGCAACAACCTTCACAATCTTTGATTCGTCTTCTATTGTTCAACAAAATGGCCCTTCATTTTGAATTAGTGTTATTAATAAGGTTTGAAAGATTGAGTTAACCACTTAACTTATAATTTGAATTGTATTTGCATGAGAATTCTCAAAGAGAGAACACACCTTTTTTTAGAATATCTCTTGACATTCGCTACTTATTCAAATAAGTTTTCTAAGGATCTGTTTGGAAAAAAAATAGTTGATAAATCATAAGTTAGCTAGCATCTTATAGTTGATAATTTATAACAAATGACTAATAAATTATAGTTGATAATCGATAAATAATTGAAGTATTTAGTAAATTAGTAGTTTCATTAATTTATAAATGTAAAATAATATAAACTAATATTTTAATTAGTAATAAATTTTATATATTAATCAATATTAAGATACTTAAAATGTATTATTTAAATTTATTAATTTAATGTATCTTTTATATATTATTATTAAATTAGTTTTTATTCAATATAATTTAAACATAACAATAAATACATGTAAAATATTTTAAATATAGATGAAAAAGTAAATGTAACACTAAACTTGTATTAAGGTAATTTTACCGGGCCCTAGAAGGAATAGTTGAAGGAATACAAGGAATCTACTGATGTAGATTCCTTGACTACATGCCGCCCAAAATCAAATATTTGCCTCAGTTGCTCATTCATGGTCCGTCTATAAGGCCTAACGTCATTGTCTAAATCTAATCACATCCCATACTAATTTTACTATGTAGATACATGACACGCATAAACGCAATAAAGGGAGGGGAATAACTTTTCTTCCCACAAAGGAAACAAAGAATTCAGTCTCCCACTCCCCTATCTTCCTCTAAAAGAAATGGAACTATTCCCCTTAGCCTTTAATCGAGACCCAAGGGAAATCTATGTACCCCTTTCTTGAAGGGAGCAGGGAGATCATATATTTTTACTAGAAAGTTATATATAGAACCTCTCATAATCTTACATGAGTGATCAATGCATTCTAATGCACATTCTCTTATGTTTGCACTTATACATTTTCTAAGTTTTTTTTGTTTATTTTACTGTTTTATTGTGTTTTTAGAATTAAGTCTTTATTTACCTTTAATTTATTTTCGCAGCTTATTTTCAGCTTTAACAGTTATTTGATACCTATCCACTGTTTAGATCATAACTAGAGCTACGAGAATCAGATTTACGCGTTCTAATAACCGTTGGAAAGTTAAGACAAAGAGCTACAACATTTATGATGTAGGCAGAAGATAATTCGGAGTGTAGCAGGCTCGAATAATTCGTTGAAGTCAAGACCTGAATTCTGCCTTAAAGAATATTTAGTTTTGGGCCGAGTTTTTTATTTTTATTTTTATTTTTTATTTTTTTCGATCCAGTTGGGTTAGAATCGGAATTTGTGATGCTTCCCTATACCTGTCTCCGCACACGGTTCATATTTACTATTTTTTACGCTATTCACGAAAATACTTTTTTGCTTTTGTACGATTACAATGAAGAACTAATCATCCGGAGTCGATTTACTATAATCGTGTTTTCAACGCTTTGAGGATTTTATTCTATCAATTCAATTTAGTTTCTCTTTCAATTCTATTCTATGAAATTGCATTTGCTTAATATGTTATTTTGTGCAATGGTTTGATTTAACTCGTATGATTGTATTTGTAACTTTTAATTGCTTTTTACGTCACTTAGTTGTTAAATCGCGTTTTTATATCGTGTTTGCTTAATTCGCGACTGTGTTTACCCGTTTACTTAATTTGGAATATAGGAATATCAATCTGTTTAATATCTTAGTGCGCTTGTCATTTGATTTGAAATCGAGTAGAGATCGAAGCCGCTTAGAGAATTGGTTAGGAAAAAAACCAATGATTAGTAGGAAACTGAAATAGTAGATCAACTTATTTTATAATCACTTATTTGCACTATTTTATAAATCGAACTTAAATCCCGCCATAAACCTTTTCACTAGTTGGTTGAAATATAGGAATCCTTGAGATACGACTCGAGTCATTGTCGCTTTACTACTTTTCAAAAAATACTCGTTTTTTATACGTGCGCGACAGCGGATCAAATTGGCACCGTTGCCGGGGATTCTTGTTGATTTTAGCTAATTTTAGAATTTTAATTTTAGAAGCTATTGATTTGATTTGCTCCAATTTTTTTTCCAGAAAATTCGAAAAAATTGTCGAATAGTACTCACTTGAAATAGAATTCTAAAAGATTTTGGTCTTAAAAATCACAAATTCCTTATTTTCCTATTTTATTTGATTTATTTTCTATTTTCATATTTTCAAAAAAATTCAAAATTTTTTGTAGAGATTTATTCTGATTTGATTTAATTTTTAATTATATTTTCATAATTTTTAAAATTTTATTTTATTTGCTTTTCTATTTTTCTATTCTTTTTCTTAATAGGGACATTGTTGGTATTTTCCTAATTGTTGCTGCATTGCTGAAGTAATTATGTGTTTTCTTTTTCTTTGTTGATTTTTTTCTATTAAATTTAATATGGCAAACCAAAAAACTCTTAGAAAACTTGTTGTCCATGATATGTATTATAATGCTTTATGTACTGAATATCCTGCTGTTACTA